AATTAGAAGACAATTTTTTGTTCAATACAAACAACAAGACAGAAAAATAACTTACATAAAATTATCATGTTGTTTAAAAGAAATGCCTTGTACTCCTGACCAATTTTGTAACGACAGTTCATGATTTTTTTTAAAAGTATTCCAGAAATCTTTTGTCTTGCATATCTTTTTAAAAATCACACTTTAAAATTCAAGAAGTGTAGTACACGGTTTTTTATATATAATACTGACATATTCATAAGGAAAAATTGCTTTGAATGTCTCATTTTGTAATGTTCAATATTACTTTTTTATTAATTTTAATAAATTACGCCATATTTTACTATAAATTCTAGAATAAAATCCATATAATATGGGTGCATACAATAGCACCAATGTCATACTTTACTTATTAGGGTGACATAATTTTTACTTTGGCATCATCATCAGAATGTGAAATGAATATATATATATATATATATAGTGGAAGATAAGATTAGAGAGAGACGCCTTAAGATGGTTTGGTCATATAAATCGTTGGCCTTTTAATGACCAGGTTAGTAAAGTAGATGTATTAGATCAGACCTAAGTTAAGAAAGATAGAGGCAATAGACGTAAAAAGATTGGTTAGAAAGTGTTAGAAATGACCTTTTTTATCAGATTTAAATAAGAATTTCACTCTTAATAGGACAATGGAGAAAAAGTATTCATGAAGCCCCACATAGTGAGATAAAGGTTTGATGTTGTTGTTATTGCATCTTCAAACTTATTGATGGGGACATCAGATCATCATGGAAAGTTTATCAGAGACGTGGCCGCCGATCTACGGCCACGATCGAGTCTTTATATTTTTGAGTCATTGATGTATTTTATTTTCATGCATTTTTTTTATTTGCTTATGTAGTTTTATTATTTCCCGTTGTACCCCTATTATGGGAGTTGTCGTTTGTAAGCCCAAAGGGCATTTGTGTCATTTGTTTTTGAGTCATTTATATGAGGCTATTTAAAGCCTCCCTTTGCTCTATTTGTGGTTAATGAATGAATGAATGATTATTAAGAAGTTTCCTACACTTGTGCTTGAGAGCATTTGAGAGTTCTTGGAGAGTTTTGGAGAGATCCCTTGGAGAGGGAGCTTAGCACATCACCCACCAACCTTGGATACGGCCGGGTTCGTGATTTTCTCTTTGTATTCTCACCTTCCCTCGTCATCTTCTTTCATTCGTCGTCGTCACGCCCAACTCGACCAAATTTCACTCAACTTCATCCACACAACAAGCTCCATTAAAATTCCCCCATAACCTCGGCCACCTCCACCCGTCCTCACTTTGGCCGCCGGCCAAGGCCCCAACCCGCCGGCCTCAACCATTCCCCTTCACCCTTGAATTTTCTAACCGGACCGAGGATTAATTTGAGATGATTTTGAAATTCAAATCTCTTTGAAATTGCATTCAAGTTCCTTCCTAATTTAGCTACTCTATTTTAGGAAAGTAATTGAATTAGATCTCTTTTGAATTTTAAATTTCAATTGGATTTAATTTAAAACTTTCCTAATTTCAAAACTTAAATTAGGAAGCCTTAATCAATCCCATAAAATCCTCCCACCCTCATGCAAACCGCCGGCCCCTCCTATACCCATTAAATTCCTTTTGTTTATTTCCTAAAACTCTCCCCCTAGTTAGGAAATAATTTCAAAAACCCCCAATCTCTCCCTGGCTGAAATTACCTATTCCCTTTTCTACTTAATTTCTTTCCAAGAGAGAATCTCTCTTTGGGAAACAAATTAAAACTCCAGCTCCTCTACAAACCGCAGCCCCTCTCTCTTACCGCCCCTCTATCCTTCTCATTACTCCTCTCCCTACCTTTATTGCTCCTATGGTTTGCTGCCATAGTTTTTGCTCTTGCTAATCCTTGCTCTCCCCAACGTTAGAGGCTGATTTCCTCTCAGATTTTTAGAGTAAAATCTGAAATATTTCAGACTTTGGAATAGTAATCAGATTTGCTAGAAGACACTTGGGGTTTGTTTCCTCTTCTTTCACCACAGAAACTTCTTTCTCGTGGCCACCGCTTGAGAGGAGCATCGATTGTTGGAAGCCATTACCGTCCAATCACTCATGTATGGCAGATCCGGATGTTGACTACGGCATAACTTGGGACGAAGACGGTTTCGTAGATATTCTTCAATCAATTTATTTTGACATAAATCCAAGGGTTGACCATACCGTAGAAGAGTATTTGGAGCGAACGTTGATCTACTTGGTCGAAGCTATCGACGAGCGCTTCAAAGGCGTCGAGTGGAGGATCTCCACCTCCCTTTGACAACGGTTATCTTCTTTCAAATCTTATTCGTTCTTTTAGTCTAACTTTTCTTTGGTTTGGTTGTAGTTACGAAGGCTCCTCCAAGTGCTATTACTAAAGCTTAGTTATCGTAGGTCTTGAGCGCACTTTCAATGCATCCTAATTTTCATTATTAGATTAGGGATTAATTTGAAGGCTACTACTTTGTTTTGTCTTATTTTCTTATTTGTCTTGAAAGGTTTTAATCTTGGAGCATGTGATTTGGCCTAAGCAAAATTATCGCCTTAATTGTTTTTATTCGTTGTTAAGAACTGCTAGTAATTTTATTCTAAATTTATTCTAATCAAGAATTGCGCAATATCTAAGTGATTCCAAAGTCATTCTCCTCTTAGTAGTCCTGCATCACTTATATAATTTGTAGTTTACTCTGTGTTACATATTAGAATATTTGTAACGATAGACAAAGATTATGATCTTAGATTTGCAAGAATATCACAAATACAAATAAAAGAAATTCAAAAGACACCAAAAGTTTAAGAAAATTTAGAGGAGGCACCCCAATTTCGAAGAAATTCAAAGGGGCGCCAAAACTTATAAGTGGAAAATCCGAAAATGAAAAAAATAATGAGGTATAATCCAGTTGAAATAATTTACCATGGAAATAAGATTATAAAAGCTCTTTTTCCTTTTAATTGAAAAAGATGATATTACAACATATATATTATTATATTATCTTCCTATGATATGCTAGAGAATATTGGTGATATAGTGAAAGGTGATGATTGCAGTCAGACAATGTCAACCAAGCAAACAATTGGGCGACAACAAATTCTTCAGTCTCTAAGCTCTCTCCAATTTCAAACCCTCTTCATATGGACGAGCTATAGAAATAGGGCAACAATGATTGTTGGAGGTGACCTTTGGCATCAACCGTCGGGCAGGAAAACTAGTATTCTTCAATCTCTAAGCTCTCTCCAATTTCAAACCCTCTTCATATGGAGAACGGGGGTTTGTTAATATCTTTCAGAGTGGCATTTTGATTATTTTAGCTAAAATCCCTAAACACTTCATCGGGCATTCCATGTTGATTTATTGAATCAAAGATCATTCATTGTGCATATAAGAACCTTAATGACATTGTCATATTGGGAGCATGGGATTATTCTCATTGAGACGCTCATTTTGACCATAAGCACACAAGATTCAAAGATTGTTTGGTCTTTCAAATATAAAAAAAAATTCTAACTATGATTTAAGTAATTAATTTGGAAACATTTGGATTCAAATCAAGAAAATTCCGAAGTTCTTGGGTTCTCCTTATCTATACGTTCATTTTGACTATGAGTTTGTTAAAATTGGAGTTCAAATAACCCTAAATTTAATTCTAAAAGTTTAAAATTCAAATATTACATCAAGAATTGTGCTTGATCAAATAGATTTTATGATGATCCGTAGACATTGTCTGCCGCTGACACTAACATCTACCTATTGATGTTTGACTTTTGCTTATCTTCATCATCCTATATTGCTTCTACAACATTTTCTATTACATCCACCAGAGAACAGGCTAATGTTTCAAAAAAATGTTATCTCATCTTCTCAGCTTTTTTTTTATTTGAATTATTGCATACTCGTCTTCTCAACTTCAATTATCTTAAGCCCATTGGTTGTTTCCCTTTTCCAAGTTTTTCAAATTTCACATAATAATGATGTCACTTGTAAACTTTTTTTATTTGTGTATTATTTGCATTTTTTGTACAATACTAATATAAAAAAAATCACTTTACCAACTCAAATTTTCCAGCACACAATAATTTATATCTTCTACAATGCTGAGGAAAAATTGAGATGGTATTATTTTGGAACAACTATTCAAAAGTTTAGGCTTTCACTATGTTCTTCGTGCAATAACAGGGGAAGTACTGATATTGGTATATGGGGTTACATAAAATATCACAAAAAATTATCATAAACAGTTAATTGTTACTTGTGCAAGCTGGCGAAGCCCACAGTGCACAACTCCCCAAGCTCTTATGCATGATCATTATAATTTTCTTCAGAAGTCTAAACGTTTCTATTAATTCTTTGACGCCATTTGTGTATCAATTACTGTAAAAAATAGTGCTACTTTGTTTATCCAACTCTTGTTTGTCATTATTAGCGACAACTATCATCATAATACTTATCATCATTATTATCCTCAACCACACTATTCTCCAGCGTTCACTAATCTTACACAATCCTTAAATTGTCAAAGTTGTCTCAAATTAGGCAGATAAAGACGAACCCTATGATGCATTAATGCATATAAGACTCATTTGATACGGTTTGAACAATCCAATAAATAAAAAAGAGCAAGAATTACAAGTTTTCAGTCATGAGTATTTGATGAACCATTTAACAAAAAAGGCATGTTCATAGCACTGGCTCCAGCAAAAAAAAAAGGTTTCAGCTGAGAAACTAAAGGAAAAAAAATAAAGCATTTTCATTAAATTCTTAATCAATTAGGCATAATGTCCCCTGCAAAAATTATTGGCGTTGGTCTAGCATTTTTATCCAGCTGCTATTCTTTCTTCTGCCAGGAAGATATATTTTCTAGGAACGTGATAAAAAAAATAAAAATAAAAATTTAAAAAAAAAAATAATTTCTAGGAACGTGAACAAAAAAGGTACAACCTGCTCCTAGAAAATTCTCCAGAAAGAACTTGAAAATGACAGAAAATTACTTCGGCTTGGATCAAACTTCACAATTTCTTTATTAGCCACGGCTTCCTCTCTGGAGGCAGTTGTTAGCTCGGGGACATGATCCTTCAACTCCATTGTCAGTTTCCCTTTCACGCTGCAAATCCAAATTAAGCCTTGTATATTAAAATTGTGTCTTTCTAGTCTTCCAATCAAAAGATACGATTCATCAAGCAAAGTCACTCGTAGATGAAAAACAAATAGGGTTAGAGCATGCCGATAACACAAGTGAGATAAATTCATAAGTTCCTTATGTGAGATTCGGATTACCACCACTGGAATAATTTAATATGTAGGTTTAATCTCCAAGCTCCTTCTTTTTGCAAGGATTTCCTGCCCGATAATCAAAGAGAAGGGCAAGACAAGGCATGATATGCTTGAATTTTTCTACCATAACACACTCAATGTAACATAATTCCTAAAAGAATGTTGAAAAATAAAGCATAAAGGAGAAAGACATGTTGGAACTGTTGGAACAACATAAAGGAGGACTCTGTTTTCTAATTCCAATGAGGAAGCTAAATTATTATATTTATAGATGATAAACAAAGCCCAATAAAGAGTCAAAAGATAACCGGCCCAATAAAGAGTCAAAAGATAACCGGCCAAGAGGTAGAAAGAAAGGAGAGTAAATGCAAATATTGGGTGAAATACTTTTTTTCCCAAATTCCTACGAAATAAATAACTAGAAAATCAGGAAAATGGAAATCCTAATATGCCATTTGGATGGAACATTCAAAGTAAGCAGCAGGAAAGGAAGGAATTGTTGGACCAACTAGAGGAGAAAACCATGAATGTCGATGGAAATGCAGCCTCCATTTATGTGGTTTCCCATAATGGGTTCATGATATTTATAGCACAAAGCCTTTAACATCTTGATTTATGATATCTGCCTCTTCATTTGTTTGTGTCCACACTCCATATTTTCACAATCGCCCTCCATCAGAGAATGGGTATTAATCATTTCAAGCTTAAATTTGAGGTTGCCAAATTAGTGAAAAAAATAGTTGTTTGAGATTTTGTGGGGGTGTAGATCAATATGATAATCTCTTCTGTCTTTTTTTTTTTCTTGAAATATCCATCAATCTCAATATGTTTTGTGTTTCATGGTGGACAAGATCTTTAGCAATGTTTATTGTAGTTCATTGTCACACATCATCATTATTGGTTCTTTAATAAGAACTTTTAAATTTGTGCTACCTATATTTAAACTAAACATTTGTGCTACTTATAACAACTAATATAAACTTCTTACTCATCCAAGAGACTAGATTTCTCTATTTAAATAATAAGACATGAATTTACGATCAATTCTAGATCCTGTCTGGTTAGCAGCAACAACAACAACAAGACTTTGTCCCACTATGTGGGGTTAGCTACATGAATATTTTTTTCCATTGTGTCATTTCTAATATTTTCTAACCAAGTCTTTTTAGGTCTACCTCTACCTTTCTTAACATAAGTCAAATCTAATACATCTGCTTTCCTAATCAGGTCATCGGAATCCGTTTTATGCGACCAAATCATCTAAGGCGATTGTCTCTAATCTTATCTTCCATTGGAGCTACTCCAACCTTCTCACATATAAGCTCATTTCGTATCATGTCTCTAAGAGTAAAGTCACTCATCCACCTAAGCATCCTCATCTCTGCAACACTTAATATTATGCTTCTCTTTCAATGACCAACATTCTACGCCATAAAGCATTGCAAGTCTCACTACCATCTTATAGAATTTTACCTTAAGTTTGAGAGAGACTTTTCTATCACACAAAAAAGCTCGATGCATTCCTCCAATTCAACCCAACAACTTGAATTATACTAAAAATATCCCCATCTATTTCACTATCACTTTGAACAATAAACCCAAGATATCTAAAACGTGTACTCTTATTAATGAGATCCTGTCTAGTTAGCATCGGTAAAAATTTCAATGTTTTATGAGTTCCTTTCTTGAATAATATGCCTTTTCTGGTGACATTTTAAAATATCCTAGTATAATATATATAGCATAAAGATGTTCTTCAAAAGGGTCATTCATATATCAACTAACCACACTAACTAAGGAAGCAAATGTCAGGTCTAATGTGGGAAAAGCATATGAGTATTCTAATCAAGCGTTGATACTTTTCATTGTCCACCCATGAAGAATCACTTTTGGACCCTATTTTATTTATATGATTCATTGGGTTTTTAGCAGGTTTGCATCATTTCACACAATTTATTTTAAGAAGTTCAAAGTATATTTTTGTAAAAAGATAGACATATCTTTTGTTTAACTAGTAATTTTCATACCGAGGAAATATTTAAAGGCTCCTAGATTTTTTAATTTAAAGTTGTTTATCAAGATCCTTTTCAGTTTGATAATATCTTCTCATTGTTATTGATTAAGATATTATCATCATATACAAAGAGAATCCTTAGTTTACTTATTGATGATTTCTTGCCAAACAGGGCATTATCAACCCGTCCTTGATAGTACCTCTGCTTCTTAATTGCAGTAGTGAATCTATTGAACCAGACAATTGGTGATTGCTTTAGATCATATGATAATTTCTTGAGCTTGCAGGGATTCGAACTAATTATATCAAATCCAGGTGGCACAATCATATAGACTTCATCTTCAAAATTATTCTTTAGGAAAGCATTATTGACATCACGATGAAAACATCAGTGCAGGTTAATAGCCAAAGCGAGAATAACATTGATTGAATTTATCTTGGCAACTAGTGCAAATGTTTATTTATAATCAATCTAATAAATTTGTGTAAAACTTTTTGCAACAAATCTAGTCTTATATCTTTCAATGCGCTCATGTAGCTTATATTTGGTATTGATGATCCACTACACCCAAGAAGTCTCTTTCCCTTTATCAAAGCCGAGAGCTTCAGTGTAGCGTTCTTCTCTAATGCCCATACATCGTCATGAACAAAATCTCTCCATTTTAGATATTTTCAAGGCCTCGTAAATATTGTTGAGAATGTTCATGCTAGAAAGATTCATTGTTAAGGTACAAAACTGATGAAATAACTTATCATATGAAGCATACTCATTGATCAAACATTTTATGCAATTCCTTCTTGATGAGGACATCGTCAGCAATTTCGACACGTGTACCATCGGAGACACCGGAGATCGACGGCCACGATCAGGAGTTTTATTTTAAGTCATTTTATGTAGTAATTTATTTTATTTTTCAGTTTTATTTTATTTTTCAGTTTTTTCTGTTTTTACCCTTATGGGTATTTGGTTGCTATTGTAGCCCAAGGGGCATTTTAGTCTTTTGTTTCCTTTGTCATTTTGAGGCCTATATATATGGTCATTTCTTATGTAATGAGGATGAAAGCTCTCATTATTAAATTGTGGATTGTTGGTTAATAGCTCTTAGTATTGCTACTATTTTTGCTTATTTACTAGGTTTGGTTAATCTACATGTGCTCCTTCGCCTAAGCAAGTGGAAAATTAAGATTCTTTAATGAATTTGCTTGTTATTTCAATAAGTTATTAATTGAGATTACATTGTCAATTATTCTTAAATTTCTTATCAAGCTCCTTTTGCATGTGGTTTCACATCACTTCTAGTCCTTACACCTCTCCAACAGACAAATCAGACTGTTGACATCATAATCAATGTTCCGACCAAAAGGATAGTTGTGGCTTAAATCAAATACGTGGTTTTGCTATGTAGAAGCACATTGATCACCTTTGTTTGTTAAATTTTTTTTTACATTTGATATAAATAATTACTTTGTGCCTAGATCATTTTATGTGATATTGGGAAATTTTAGTGTGATCAAGAGAATGACATTCGGTTAGGTTAGTGAGAGTTGTAAGCTCAGAAAGAATAAATTGAATATTCTCGGCAAACTCAAATTAATTAAAATATTTAAGATTATGTTATGTCTATTAGAAACAAACACTAAATTTTCCATTGGGTTGATTAGTCTAATCATCCAATCCATCCACAACTCATTATTTTATAAGTCAACTACTTCAAATGCTACTAGATAAATATGAGTTTAGGCATCTTGTGTAAATGTAATGAGTAAAGTACCTCCACATCGTGTATTAAAAAATATTTTATTTACACTTAGTAGAGATAGAAGCATATTTGAAATGTCTAGCACTATAAAGCTGAAGAGCAATAATTATTTCTAATTTTTGCCAAGAGAAGATGGCAATTTATGAAAGCATATCTAGGAGGACACTTATAAAAGTGATAGCATGCTCAAAAACACCATCAATCCTTCTCATAGAGCAATTCAATGTCATGGTGTACCTTCATATTGATATGAATATCTTTGGTTTCAAACTAAGATTAAATCAATAAAATTTTACTTGCTATATATCCAATGAGCTATAGTTAAGCTTGTCTATGGTCTTTAGATTTAACATCCTAAGTGCTAGCGTATTCTGATTCATGACACCTAATTTCCAACATATTTGAGTTTGCTAATTTCATAGCTCGCAAGCATCATGAACATTCTCTTAAATGCAACCAATATAGCATACATCTTTAACTATTTTTTTCACTTTAAATTAAAATTCTTTTTCATTACATATAGATATAGCATCCACTTTAACTCTTCTCAACTCTCAAAAATTTTCCCAACTTCCAAATGAATTGAGGATAAACTGTATGAGACCATTATATCAACAACCATTGCATTGGATCTACTTTCAAACACTGAACCTTGTAGGATAAAAATCATCCATATGTTATATATATCATAAATTGATGCTTTTAGCCCCAATGTATATAAAAATTAAAAAGTTCCACTTGTTTATTTATTTTAGGCATATCACAAAATATGGTTGTGAACTCTAATGGATGTTCTAGTATTGAAGTATCTATGAAGCCATCATCATTTGCAGCCTGTACATCCACAACATCACCATCTTATGCAAATGTTATGTCCATAGCATTGCCTACATCAACAAAAAATTATGAACTACTAATTTTGCATCATTTCCGTTGGCATTAAAATCTATAATTGAAATATTTTTGGGAGCAATAGACACACATATGATAGATCTATGTCAAAAAAATATAGATATCTCATTCTAGAAAGGAAAAAAAAAAAACAAGAACATGATCTATTGATGATTCAATTTGAAGAATTAAAATTGCGGAG